GATTTTTGCCAATGTTCAGGAGTAAACAGATGACGTCGTTGTTCAATAAATGTCCAACTAGCCAATTCTAATACGCAGTCACGAATGGGTTGACATTATTTATGCAATTATTACAGTAGTGCAGTAGCCTTTGTAGCAGTAAATATTCTATTTTTTGTGTGAATAAAAATTCACAATAGAAAGCAAGAGTAATATAAGAGGGGCCTGGAGACATGACTGATGAACAGAGAAAATGTTATTTTAGTGCCAGGAATGTCTGCATTGTTCATTCTGGATCCTGTTTTGAAATTGGCATTTTTTTTAATTTGTGTGAAATTGGCCAAATTACCAATTTCTGACCACTTAGGGTCCAAGGCCAAAATCTGAAGTGGTGCCTCAGTGTCCAAGAATTTAAAAAAAAAAAATTTGTTATTTTTTCTTCTGAAATGGTAGAAAATCTTTTTGTGAAGGTAATAAAACAAAAAGTACAAAATTTGATGGAAAATTGACGAAATTATGCTCTCATGAATTTTGATGTGTCAGCGATATTTACGAATCGGCGATTTTGCTGACTTTGACTCCCATTTTAGGCCAATTACATTATTCCAGTCGACCAAATTCTTAGCTATTTCACTAGTATTACTTCTATTCTATCGATTGAGGACAAGAAATCGCCAAGTCAACTGTTTCAACTACAAAATAAAGTGATAGGAAATTGGTAATTTGGCCAATTTAACACAAAGTTCAAAATATTCCAATTTCAAAATAGGGTCTAGAATAAACAATGTAGGTATTCCTGGCACTAAACTAACATTTCCTCTGTTCATTAGTTACATTTTGAGGCTTTACAAATAAATTCCATTTTGATTTTTTATTCACATAATGAATTTTTATTCACACCAAAAAATAGAAGATTTACTGTTATGCAATATTGTAATAATTGTATAAATATCATCACCACATTTGTGAATGTATATTAGACCCACCAGCTGGCGTGTATTAGACGTGTGAGGTCGTTTGTTTACTCTTGAACTTCGGCAAAAATTTAACATTTCCGCTACTTTGAGCTCAGTTTCAAGCCATTTCCAGTGCAAAAACCAATCAAAATCATCTCTATTTCTGTAACATGTCTTCATTCTATCAAATGAGACCAAGAAATCGCAAATACAACTATAAAAAACATATGAAAAAACACTGCAAAGTCGCTGTTTTAATCGAAAATCATGGTTTCAGATTTTTTTCTCTCATACACAGTGTGCTGCAGGATTTGTTTTATGTGGTGCACACATACCACATAGATGTATTCTCTCATATCTAGGCCCAAATGTACCACTTACAGTTTATCAGAGTGAGCTGAGCTCATGACGTAGATCTACGGTTTGGGCCCTGAACATAAAGCCGTAGATCTACGGGACGGACCCTGAAAGGGTTAAATCGGTAAATGGGCGGTTTCTTGTACTTAATCGATAGAACAAATGGAGTTCCAAAGAAATAGCTATGAGTTTGGTTGACTGGAGCAATAGAATTGGCCAAAAATAGGGTTCAAAGTGGGTGAAATCGCCGATGCATAAATATCGCTGAGATTTCTAACTTCACGAGAGCATAGTTCCATAAGTTTTCAATCAGATTTTGTACTTTTGATGTCATTACCATCGGGAAAAGATTCTCTATCATTTCATGAGGAAAAAAATAATTTTTATTTTTAAATTCTTTGACACAGAGCAAGTTTGTGAGCAGGGGTCTCGACAGTCAAAGGGTTAAGAGGAAAGTGATGTTGACCCCGAATTTAGTGGTTTTGTGGTGGACGTGGCCACAAGTGGCCGCAGGAATATCAAAAACCTCGATAATAACCCATGTGCAACATTTGTGAAACATCCTTTCAATTTTGGTACCACTGGTAGTGTCATCTAAGTACATAATAAGAAACAGTTCTGGAACGTGTAATAAGTGTTCGGCAGGCTGGCTGGCCGGCTGGCTGGCTGATTGGTTGTCTCTATCTCCTTCTGTTTGTCTGCATCTATCTCTTTCTCTGTCTCTGTCTGTCTGTCTGTCTATCTCACGGGTACACATACGTAAATATAATTATTATACGTGGTGTAAATTACCTAGGGTAACCCAAAAATTCCAGACAAAGTGCTATACTGTGCTTGTAGTTAATATAATGCATAATAAATATGACTGGCAAGTTGTGCGCATTTTCACTTGTTCAGGAATCAGACGTGATTGTGTGTAATACCAGTAAATACTACTCGCCTTTTGCCCTATATTAAGACTACAAATGTTTTGAGGTAAATAATGAGTGTATGTACTGTGTGTGTATTTTACTTTTTATTATTTTTTAATGCCTAGTTCTATTGATAACTTAATATATGTTAGTGTAAACTTGTTATCTGGCAATTATATGCATTTATAAGTGGAAAAAATGGCGTTCTGCTTTCCGGCAGTAGCCTGGAACCTAACCTGCCGTATAAGTGGGGCCCTACTCTGTTTATATCACCATCCTCATCAAGTAGAGAAATCAACAGTAGTGAGTAGAGGCAAGTGGTTTTCATGATCTGAAATCTTGTTGGCATTTGAGCATGTTAGCTGGACAAGTCCTGGAGGTGGGAAGTACAGTGGAACCTCAGTTTTCAGATTTAATTCGTTCCAGATGTCGACTCGACAACCAAAATTGACATCTGTAAATAGGAGGAATCTATCCCAGACCCCAGATGAAAATAATGTATTAATAATGTACTAACTACTACATAAAACAATGTACAAAATACAGCACAGGGAAACTGTAAAAATGAATACTAAATGAAAATTTAACTGAAATAATGTACAGTATATGAAAATTTAACTGTCCCTTACCTGTCAGAGGAGAACTATTGGCATACTGGAAGCAGGAGATGGAGGAGAGGAGGGGGGATGTTGCTACTTGGAAGGAGAGTTGTCATCTTTTGACAAACCGGCCATATCCCACCAAGGCGGAAGGAGAGTCATCTTCAGTTAATATGTCAGGCAACTATCCTTATGGTGTTTTCTTTTTGCCTCATGTCACCACTAACACCTTGTTCTGGCTCACTGGTTCTTTCTCACTAAAAACCTGTCCAGTGAGGTTGATATGCCAAAAAGTTTTGCTATAACAACCACGTGGATCCGATATTCTTCATATTTTCTAATGACTTTTTTTTTTTTAATTCAGCAGTGCTTTTTACAACTTTTCTTTTTCTTTTCATCTCTATCCTTCTTTGGACCCATGATGGCTTATCTCACAATAAAAATGCACCAAAACTGTAAAATAACAAAAAGTTCACAAGATGCACAACTGAAGCTCAACACCCCCATGGCTCAGCCCATGACCAGGCCTCCCGGTGGATCAGGGCGTGATCATCTATGCTGGTACTGCTGGTCGCACGTAGTCCAACGTACAAACCACAGCCTGGCTGATCCGGCACTGACTTTAGGTGCCTATCCAGCCCCTTCTTGAGGACAGCCAGGGGTCTATTAGTATTCCCTATATTAGGGGTCTATTAGTAATCCCTATATTAGGGGTCTATTAGTAATCCCTATATTAGGGGTCTATTAGCAATCCCTGTATTAGGGGTCTATTAGTAATCCCAACCAGGGTCTTCAAGAGGGAGTTGAACAGATACCTAAAGTAGTGCTGAATCAGCCCGGCTGTGGTTCGTATGTTGGACTGTGTGGCCAGCAGTAACAGCCTAGTTGATCAGACCCTGATCCACTGGGAGGCCTGGTCATGGACTGGGATGTGGGGGGGGTGTTGATCCCCAGAATACCCTCCAGGCAGGCAGGTAGCACACAAGTTAGTGTTATAATGACTCGTACCCACGTTCTTGACCCATTATCCAGTGCACGTTCCGTGAGCATGTGATCTGACCCGTTTTATTCCATTCCGTATATGCAAAAATTTGTCCGGCGACAACCAAGAGAACGTACCAAAACCAAGACATTTTTTCTTGAACACCTCATTCAGAAATCACTTTATTTGACAAGTAATGCAGTCGACAACTGAGGTTTGACTGTTCAGTGACTTCACTGAAGGAAGGGTGAGGATGTAGTTCAGAGGGTCATCTGAATTGTGGTGTCAGTGGACTTCTGGCAAGAGTGATTGAATGAGTGACAGTGAAAGTGTCTTTTGTCAGGTCACCCTTCCTAGGTAGGAGACAGCTAGAGTACTAAAAATAAAAAAGTAACCATTTCACTGGACAGTAGTGTAAAAATTTGAAAATTGATATCACTATCAGTTCAGATGTCAAAATATCTCCTACAACACTGGAGAACAAAGACAAGCTAGGCCAGTATAAGCAAGAGATATGTGCCTGCCTGAAGTGCCCTACAGAAATTTTTTTTACGTCGTTCAGTCATTGGTAATTTTCAATTTGAGCAATGTGGAGGATTTTGTTTTAGATACGTAACAGTAATCAGTGCAACTTGGTTATGATATATCAAGGTTGCATTATGTGTATATTGACTGCAATTTTCTTGTTTGTAAAATTGATGATTAAACCATATACTGTATTGTGAAGGTTTACAAGATTTGTAAATACTGTACAGAAGGATTATTTCAAGATTTTTGAAGAAGAAAAATCACCATAATGTTTGGTAAGTACTGTACTAATTTTTATTGCAAATTTCTCAAAAAAAAAAAATGTTTAGATGAACCACTGTATACATTATTTTATATTATCAGTATGTTGCAACACATTCTTTGTGTAGTGATCCCTTACATTCTGGCCATAAATAGTTACATTATTATTGTATACTCAGCTGTAATTTGTGAATTTTGTCTTTTATAACTCTGCTTCATCAACTCTTCCTGTATTTAGTGGCAACTTCCATCTTGTAATGAAACACCATGTCTGCATACAGTGCATTGGTGTGTTACCATGAAGAGGAACTACTTTGCAATTCATGTGGGAAGGACCCTGCAGCATTCCTACACACACACACACACACACACTTCGTCTGTATTTTGTCTTGTGTCATGGAATGACAGCTGGGTGTTTGTATTACAGGATGTTGCCACAAAAAGCCTCTTTTGGTCCCTGGTGGACGAGCATTCGTTTGGCCCACTGTGCAGCAAGTACAGAGGTATATCATGAATGTCCATTTGTTAATTGGTATTTATTTACTAATCTTTTTCCTTAGTTTTTACAGAGTTGTATAGTTAAAGCTTATTACAATACGGTATTTGTAATTATGGCATTAAAACAAATGAATTTGTGAACCTCTTGCACTTACGCATTTTAACGTTTTAGCTTAGATAGGCATTGAAATCTCCCTTTAGCATGTATATTATTATTTTTTTGTATTCTGCCTTTTATACATCTAAGTAATTTTTTCTTAATTTGTAATCTAGCCAGGCATGTTGTTAGTAGCTGTCCTTATTTTTGTAAGCATTCTCTAGTTGGAGAATTTAACATTTTGCATGCCTTGTAAACCCTTCATGATTTGGGAGCATTAAACAACAATGGTATCTGTCTTTGATTCTTAAACAATTTAGCTTTTATTTAGGTGGTATTTGTAAAGTTGGCAGTTCCAACTTCTCTTCTTCTATAGGATTCCTGCCAATAATGCATAACTTTTTTTAAATTGTGTATTTTTTTTATTAGTCTTGGTGAATACAGTACTGTTCATGTACTTCAGTTTTCTAAAACTAAGCTCACCCTGCTTGAGAAAAGAAAATTTTATACAATTTTATCATGTAATGCATAATATAAGCATATTTAAAGTACTGTATTAAATATTTTTTTTGTCTACAAACCTCTTATCCACTGTATTTTTGCTTCCTCAGCTATTTTGAGACACTAGTTCTAATTAGTACAGCACATCACTGTTTTGAAAATAAGTCTTTGTAGGATTATTATGGCTTTATGATGCAGTGTGTAGCTTGCTTGTGGCAAAATCGTTGGAAAAAAAATATACAGTAAGAGGAACTTGAAAAATGCTATATTAGGAGTGATTCATGTTCCACGATGTTATTTTTAAATGTAACGAGTTTTATGCTGCAGTAAAGTAATTCTCCAATGAGAGCAAAAAATGTGCAAGTGTGGATGGTGGAATGCAAGATAGTTTTGATGCAGCATGGATGTTAGGGCAAGGTAAGATTGGGCAGAGCCCTCACACACCCTGCTCACCCTGGTGATGACCCACACACCCTGCTCACCCTGGTGATGACCCACACACCCTGCTCACCCTAGTGATGACCCACACACCCTGCTCACCCTGGTGATGACCCACACACCCTGCTCACCCTGGTGATGGCCCACACACCCTGCTCACCCTGGTGATGACCCACACACCCTGCTCACCCTGGTGATGACCCCCACACCCTTCTCACCCTGGTGATGACCCCACACATCCTGCTCACCCTGGTGATGACCCCCATACTCTGCTCACCCTGGTGATGACCCCTACACCCTGCTCACCCTGGTGATGACCCACACACCCTGCTCACCCTGGTGATGACCCACACACCCTGCTCACCCTGGTGATGACCCACACACCCTGCTCACCCTGGTGATGACCCACACACCCTGCTCACCCTGGTGATGACCCACACACCCTTCTCACCCTGGTGATGACCCACACACCCTGCTCACCCTAGTGATGACCCACACACCCTGCTCACCCTGGTGATGACCCCACACACCCTGCTCACCCTGGTGATGACCCACACACCCTGCTCACCCTGGTGATGACCCACACACCCTGCTCACCCTGGTGATGACCCACACACCCTGCTCACCCTGGTGATGACTCCCACACCCTTCTCACCCTGGTGATGACCCCACACACCCTGCTCACCCTGGTGATGACCCCCCATACTCTGCTCACCCTGGTGATGACCCCTACACCCTGCTCACCCTGGTGATAACCCACACACCCTGCTCACCCTGGTGATGACCCACACACCCTGCTCACCCTGGTGATGACCCACACACCCTGCTCACCCTGGTGATGACCCACACACCCTGCTCACCCTGGTGATGACCCACACACCCTGCTCACCCTGGTGATGACCCCCACACCCTGCTCACCCTGGTGATGACCCACACACCCTGCTCACCCTGGTGATGACCCACACACCCTGCTCACCCTGGTGATGACCCACACACCCTGCTCACCCTGGTGATGACCCACACACCCTGCTCACCCTGGTGATGACCCCCACACCCTTCTCACCCTGGTGATGACCCCCACACCCTTCTCACCCTGGTGATGACCCCCACACCCTTCTCACCCTGGTGATGACCCACACACCCTGCTCACCCTGGTGATGACCCACACACCCTGCTCACCCTAGTGATGACCCACACACCCTTCTCACCCTGGTGATGACCCCCACACCCTTCTCACCCTGGTGATGACCCCCACACCCTTCTCACCCTGGTGATGACCCACACACCCTGCTCACCCTGGTGATGACCCACACACCCTGCTCAACCTAGTGATGACCCACACACCCTGCTCACCCTGGTGATGACCCACACACCCTGCTCACCCTGGTGATGGCCCACACACCCTGCTCACCCTGGTGATGACCCCCACACCCTTCTCACCCTGGTGATGACCCCACACACCCTGCTCACCCTGGTGATGACCCCCCATACTCTGCTCACCCTGGTGATGACCCACACACCCTGCTCACCCTGGTGATGACCCCCACACCCTTCTCACCCTGGTGATGACCCCCACACCCTTCTCACCCTGGTGATGACCCCCACACCCTGCTCACCCTGGTGATGACCCACACACCCTGCTCACCCTGGTGATGACCCACACACCCTGCTCACCCTAGTGATGACCCACACACCCTGCTCACCCTGGTGATGACCCACACACCCTGCTCACCCTGGTGATGACCCACACACCCTGCTCACCCTGGTGATGACCCACACACCCTGCTCACCCTGGTGATGACCCACACACCCTGCTCACCCTGGTGATGACCCCCACACCCTTCTCACCCTGGTGATGACCCCCACACCCTTCTCACCCTGGTGATGACCCCCACACCCTTCTCACCCTGGTGATGACCCACACACCCTGCTCACCCTGGTGATGACCCACACACCCTGCTCACCCTAGTGATGACCCACACACCCTTCTCACCCTGGTGATGACCCCCACACCCTTCTCACCCTGGTGATGACCCCCACACCCTTCTCACCCTGGTGATGACCCCCACACCCTTCTCACCCTGGTGATGACCCACACACCCTGCTCACCCTGGTGATGACCCACACACCCTGCTCACCCTAGTGATGACCCACACACCCTGCTCACCCTGGTGATGACCCACACACCCTGCTCACCCTGGTGATGGCCCACACACCCTGCTCACCCTGGTGATGACCCCCACAACCCTTCTCACCCTGGTGATGACCCCACACACCCTGCTCACCCTGGTGATGACCCCCCATACTCTGCTCACCCTGGTGATGACCCACACACCCTGCTCACCCTGGTGATGACCCCCACACCCTTCTCACCCTGGTGATGACCCCACACCCTTCTCACCCTGGTGATGACCCCACAACCCTGCTCACCCTGGTGATGACCCACACACACTGCTCACCCTGGTGATGACCCACACACCCTGCTCACCCTAGTGATGACCCACACACCCTGCTCACCCTGGTGATGACCCACACACCCTGCTCACCCTGGTGATGGCCCACACACCCTGCTCACCCTGGTGATGACCCCCCATACTCTGCTCACCCTGGTGATGACCCCTACACCCTGCTCATCCTGGTGATGACCCACACACCCTGCTCACCCTGGTGATGACCCACACACCCTGCTCACCCTGGTGATGACCCACACACCCTGCTCACCCTGGTGATGACTCACACACCCTGCTCACCCTGGTGATGACCTCCACACCCTGCTCACCCTGGTGATGACCCCCACACCCTGCTCACCCTGGTGATGACCCACACACCCTGCTCACCCTGGTGATGACCCCCCACACCCTGCTCACCCTGGTGATGACCCCTGACCCCCACACCCTGCTGACCTTGGTGATGACCCCCACACCCTGCTGACCCTGTTGATGACCCCCACACCCTGCTGACCCTGGTGATACCCCCCACACCCTGCTGACCCTGATGATGACCCACACTGCTGACCTTGGTGATGACCCCCACACACTGCTGACCCTGGTGATGACCCACACACTCTCCTGACCCTGGTGATGACCCACACACCCTGCTCACCCTGGTGATGACCCACACACCCTGCTGACCCTGGTGATGACCCACACACCATGCTGACCCTGGTGATGACCCACACACCATGCTGACCCTGGTGATGACCCACACACCATGCTGACCCTGGTGATGACTCGCACAAAGCGTGAGCCAAATGACAATGATGCATTCGCTATTAATGGATCTCTCAGAAATTTTACATTGAAAGTAAAGGTTTTTTGGCAATACTGTGCAAATAACAGTCGATTAACACAGTACAGTGGAACCTCTGCTTATGAACGTCCCACCATGTGAACTTTTCAGGATACGAACTGTCTTTAAGTCGATTTTTTGCTTCTGGATACAAACGAAATTTCAGGATGCGTACTTCCCCTTCAAAGCAGGTTCCTGAAGTAAAAAATAAAATATTTATTTCTTTGCAAAGGTTACAGTGTGTGTTTACATATATGATTGGAGCAAAGAAAGCCACTATCATGCCAAGGCATTTTGGGCAGACTTAACCTAATACTTATAGACTACTTAAGTCTAGACAGGTGAAGAGTAGTGGTTACCAATGTTTTGCTGATGGTGGCACCAATTACTGGTAGCCTTTTGAAGTTTCTCCTTACTATTATTATTATTATTATTACTATTATACTGTATTATTATTATTATTATTGTTATGATTATTATTATTAGTATGTACGTGGTGAGGGGCTCTTGATCTAGGGTATTGGATCTGTTTTCCAGTTCCCTGAATTAAGCCTGAATACCTTCCATCCCCTCCCCCCTCCACAGGCGCTTCCGCATTATAATAATAATAATAATTATAACAACATGATACAGTGGAACCTCAAATTTCGAACGTATCGCTTATTGAACTCTAAGAAAATA